TCTGTGTTTGCTGGAGACGCACCTCTAATAGGGATGGGAAAGATACAGAAGAGTAGGTCGCATATAAAATATCTTCACTGTGAATAGAATAGTTTCACGAGCAATTTTCACATTAACGGACAGATTCTTTGAAAGAAAGAGATTAGCACGTAACCTGAAGATTTTTATTTGACTGTATATCCATATCAGCATTGCCTTCTTGGACACCATTAAGGTGCGTATACAGTCAGATGACCTGAGATAGTCAAACATGGTCTAATCAGCGATACGTTTTAGTTCAGCGTAATACTTTAGCGTTTTACATGACTATATTAGTAGTATTTATACATATTATATATTTTCTGGTTATAGAATATTTTCTGGTTTTTAAGGCCTTGATTTTGAGCGTTGCTTTTTAGTTTTCCTATAATGTGTTCATAAGGAGTGTACATCTGATTCATAATAGTATTTCATATGTCACTGTTTATAACGACTACACACTAATCATCGTATTGTGGAGATGTATGTGCATCCGTCTAGTGCGACTGGGGTCTATTTGACTTGAGCTGATTTACACCTCAACCGAACTCTTCGTTGGGTTTTTTGCATCTTCAGAAACTGTGCGACCCAGCAACTGGTGTGGTTCCTCATTTAAGCGCCGCATAGAGGGACCTGCATCGTAAAAACGGATGCTGTTTACTGGTTCGCCCTGCGCCAGTGGCGGGCGTCCGGCGCGACCATTTAAAAGCGTTCATGATGTCGAGCACCGAGCGACCAAAGTGAATCCGGCAGACCGATGAGAAAGTAAGGCCAGGATACAGCAAAAAGATAAGCGGCTATGCTGCTTCCATGCTATTGTGATAATCTCTGCCTTGTTCTCTGTGTATCTCTCTCCGTTGTTATCTAGTCCACAGTAGGACGATTCGGTAGGGGGAATCACTGGGAGAGGACAGCGAAGGGATAACAGCTAGCGTGTAAACGACGGGCAGGCCACTTCCAGGCATTTAGTGCCTTCAGTAGCTCGCAGACTTTGCGAGCAACCGGCCGAAAACAGAATGGGAACGCTTGTGCCTTTGTTGCAGGGCCTAGCGACGCGCCTACTGTGTCGCGGTGTAAGTAAACTTCTCCCTCGGCCGGCTTTGAGCGGGCTGTTGAAGGGAGAAGAAGTGTAAAGCAGTGTACCTTTTAGTCTCGTCGTGGTCGTCATATCGCAGTAAAGGCGGTACTAGTCGCAGCAGTAGCAGCATCGCTGAATGCCGCTGTTTCAGTGGTTCGCCGATTCGCCATTTTACCGTCAGTCTGTATTCTCCGGTATGGTGTAGATGCATATATGCACTGTGTGTATGGTAGGGATCATCCCCTGTAACGAGTTGGCGGTCGTGACGATAGTCACTCCAGCGCGCGAAGCGCCAGACACGAGTCTTATTCCTGGCGTGCGGGATTTGAATGTGTAAGGTCCCACTGAAATGGTTACTCGTTGCGTCGTTTACGTCTGTGCGTATGCACACGGGTGTCTGCGTGCTTTGCCATAGAACACGGTCTCGAAAAAGTATACGAGGAAGTGGATGAGGAGGACACAGACGCTGGCGCGGCTACCGCAAACTTCCTCGCAGCAGCGCACAGGCGGCAGGCGATTCAAACGCCAACGTAACCACTATGGATTTTGTACGGTTGGATGGTTGGCAAAGGCTGGCAAACATATCCAGGCAAGCGCATATACGAGCAGCACTGCACAGCAGGCTCGAGCGTATATGGCAGGAAAGCGTTGGGGAGCACAGCCAGGAGCTATTCTGCCGCTACGGGCTGCCGCTGCCGGCGCCGCAGCCTCGTCGTCCGGCTAGAAGGGAGATTGAGGCAGGCAAAACTATATATCATATCTATTATCACCATTGCACGACTCGACGCTGCGCTTCGTACCCTTCCTTTCGCTTGGAGTACTACAGTGTGCACTGTCGCTGCGACGGCGGCAGCCGTCAATTCTGTACAGCGGAGTAGGCAGTTTGCTGCTAGCAGGAAGCTGTCCAAGCCAAGCACAGCTTGGACGCCCGACCGTCGGCCAGCCAGGAAAAGGGGTGTTTAGGGTAGTAGGAAGGAACGGCGCGGAAACTGGGAATGGGAACGGAGGCGGAGATGCCAGAGAGAGAGAGAGACAGAAAAAGAACGAGGGTAAAGGGACCCGATATGAGGGGGTATATAAGGGCTGTTGGAGGTTGGCGAAGATAGCATGGGTCGGGTTCTGCTCGCTTGGCGGAAAATAGGTATAGCTGGGTTCCTCGTTCGTCTGTAGAGGGAGGCCGATACAGTTTAAACTCGGCGTCCAGACGGGTCCTGACGCTGACTAAGATAGCGACGGCTGCAACAGCAGCGGCAGGCAGCCACAGCGACACCGAGGTCGGCCCCTGTCCTAGTCGCGATGTCGATGCGCCCTGTATCGTCGACGCATCCTCCTATTACCCCTTAGAGCTGGCAAGATCACACAGGCGACCAACATGGCTGGGTCGATACTTGGCAAACTTTTGCGTTCTGCCAGCAGCCACATCAGGTGACAGTGATAGTGGAAGGGGTAGCAGTATCCCCAATCGCTGCTATTGCTTCTGCCGCCGTTCCTCTTCCGTTGCGTTGTATCCTGTGCACCAACTAGCCAGCCAGCCAGCCAAGCCGGGAGGAAGGCACAGGAGAAGGAAACGAGCGAGCGAGTCGATTCTCGCAACGGTCGAACACATTTGACGGTGTAGTGCTGCTGCTACGAAGGCGTGCAAACGAATAGAAATTGGTCCTACGTACAGACGGGCATATACGAGAAGCGGATAGACTACTACCCTCCTTTCTCTGCCGAACCTTCATAGCTGCTCGCTTCCTTTGATTATGGAATGGGAAACGACACGTAGTGGTAAGCGGTCAAGCGAGCATGTAAGTTGGCCGGGGGGAGGGGGGGGGACTCTGAAGAAGATGACGACGACGACGACGAAGACCAAGAGGCAGTCAGAAACACTACAGCGGTAACGGAAGGCAATTTCAGTTTAAAAAAGACGAGTGGCATGCTCTGCAAAAGTCTACTCGTCACTTTTTCATTTCTCGTTCTCTCATTAGTTTACCCGGTTCTTTTAACTTTTCCACTTATGTTGTTATGTACTTATACTTGTCGAGGAATGAATACGTGGAAAGTCGCAAAAGGAAGGGGGAAACAAGGATCTGAATTTACGAACAAAGAGACAAATGGCAAAAATCTGTACAGCGGGAAAAATGACGATCATTCTGTGTGGTATACATTTAAGGGTAGACGAGTGCGTTTGTCACCCCGTATATTTTTGAGTAGATATTTCTATCGTTTACTATTATTATTATCAAGCAGTTATTGAGCCCAACCGATCGAAACTGAACTTGCGCAAGTACGGTGCGTATTGTATCACACGTATCGTCAACCGAACTAACCAACAAACTTTGTCGCTCCCAAAGGACGTGACTTGAGATGGTTAACTTTAGCTGTTCAGACACCGAAGGAAACATAAAACAGACAGCAAGCATATCTGGGAATTGAATACGGGAAGGCTGTAAAATGCGAGCTATCGGGCTAACAGTAGCTGGGAGGGGTACAAGAGATTAGAGTACAATTGAGTTGAATGACTCATATCCGGAGCTGGCTGTATCCGGCTTGCCCTGCAACTGCTGCGATGAAGATATGGGCTCGAAATAATTGTGATTGGTTTTGTGACTATAGGCGCCACTCGGCCTCTCTCCTTGATCTGCCCTCCTCATCCGTTCCGGAGTGTAATTCAATAAAGAATACCGGGATGGCCAAGGAGTTCGTAATTTGCGTCTTTCACTGCGGCAGCTCCCTTTCGAGCGACGCACATTGCGGTTAGTACTGGCCCCGTCACCCCCATCGCAACCATGACTGTTGCTATGGAGGATCTTGCTGCAGCTGCAGTTGGGCTTCAAGCAGCCGTCGTATCATACGAGCGAACGCATTAATAGCAGTAGTATTAGCGGTAGAAACATCCAAACTTGTTTTTGGTCAGCAGTCGAGTTGTAGCTGGCACCCCGCGCTCAGCAGCCGCTGTCAATGATATCGAAGAGTAGAAGAGACGCTGGTAAAGAAACTTACTCCACTATAGACCACCACAATCGACACTCCTGGGCGATGTTACCATTCGGCATAAAGAGCGTGCACCAGGGACAACATTTCAAGGGTTTAAGGAAGAAACGAGAAGAACACGTAGTGAAGGCGCGACGGGGTTGGGGTTTGCGATCTGTCAGGCTCAGAATCAGGCACTGCGAAACGAAGGCAAACGGAGTCGGCATGGGACCGCCGTCATCACTGCCCCGGATGGTACGATTCGAGATCGAGGAAGCGACATGCTATAGAAAGCATAGTTGAAACGACCATGACAACCAATGACAATCGCTTGTGGATTTATGTACTATTCCCGGTATATAATTACCGGGTCTATGAAAACGGACTGAAGGCTTCATTGTCATGGAAACAGCAAAAAATACGTTGGCGCTAAGCGTTTTGTAGCAACGTTGCCTATTGACAAAGGCAAACTGAAGGCCATAAAGCACCTGACAGATATGGTCTTAGTGGATGGCGCTTGAGAAAAGCAACTGCTGCTATTGCTGGCGGTGTCGTCTCATAAAGGAGAACAACGCAAATTAGGCGAAATGGAGACGAAGTGCATGTATATCTAAATTACTTAGTTGCGTATAGAAGAGTCTCAATGAAAGGGTTTCATTAATTCTATAACAGATGCGCATTAGCAGGCACTGTGTTAGCCTTATACCAATAAAGTATTGGACGTCTAACTGCAAACAAGAAGTTACCCATTTGCTAATCACTATTACGACACGTAGCACAATTTGCATGGTGGTCATCCAATGCCCGGGCAAACCAATTACATTATATAGCATAATGTAAACATTATATATTACATTAAATAATGCCATGGAGAACATAGCTAAAAGATTTCTAAAACTTGTCGTATTCCCTAACGATGCTCGTTCTTCTTTGCGTTCTCTTGCAGATTACGCATGCGCCTCGCCCAGACTCTATATTCCTTCAGACTACAACCCTCAGACGGGTTTGGCGGGCCCAATTTCACCAGCTGCCAGCCCTCGCGATTCACAGCAATTCTCGTCGGATCCAACGGCGGTCACACGCGTTACGCAGCCACCTGCCAAGACATACCACCAGCTAACGACAGCCCACGACTCCGTGTTCGACTTGAATGGCATTGAGCGCACGTTCTTCGCTAAAGCAGTGGCCGAGGCACGGGGTCCTTGTCAAAGCGACGATTTACCACCGGCGTCGACGCCCCGAGCAGACGTGCTATCGGCTACAACGTCTTCCACGGCTGCTTCAACAATCAGTTCGTCGCGATCGGCGACACCGAATCTGTTGGCCGTGACGACGGTATTGACGACGACGTCAACAACAACGAACAGTTTTACAACGAACAGCAGTATCAGCAGCAACAGCAGTGGCGGCCACAGCAACAACAGCCATAGTGGCCCTCCATCGCCGACGTCGACGGCCGCTCTGCTTCCGACGTTGCGCGATCTTCGTGAAGCAACACCTAGCCCAAGTCCGCCAAGTGGACCTGGCGGTGGCGGGATCGGTGGAACAGGAAATGGCAGTGCCGGAGTTATTAGCGACGGCCGCAGCGCGCGAAGCAAGCGTCGCCTCTATTCATCGTCAGCCAGTAACTGCTCATCGGATAGTGAACGTTCGTCGAGTCCATCGAGTGGCAAGTATGTGTGCCTGGAGTGCGGCAAGCACTACGCAACTTCCTCCAACCTCTCGAGACACAAGCAGACCCACAGGAGCCCCGACTCTCAGCTCGCCAAAAAGTGTCCGACTTGTGACAAGGTACGTGCGAGTTCGGCGGGTCAGATTGTGCAATATAGCTGGCTTGTGCCAGTAGTTATTATAGTAGTATCAGTCGATGTGACCGTGCTAGTAGGGTCGCCGCTAGCGTGAGAGGGCTAACAAAGACTGGTGCTCACTGTCAATGTCAAAGGCGTCTTTGTTGGTCGTTGGTAAGTTTTGGCCTTTGAAGTTTTTGAGCACATGTATTATGTTTCCTGAGCATAAATATATGCCTGTATTCAGATGTATATGTGCTTGCTGTTTCACAGTATACACAATACATGTGGATAGCCTGTCTGTGTTTCCCCAAGCAGCCAGAATCAACCTACCCTTCGCTAACTTGGTAACCTTTGACATTCGTAGAGGGGGATTTGGCGCTAAGGCCTCTTTTACTGTTTTGTTGAGTCGGTTCACGGTTACACGATTGCGCTTCTGAGCTACGCCACGACGATGAACTGGCCGTTAGATGCGGATAGCTTCGCAAACGAGTGTCACCATCCGCGCTTCGTTATACGGCAACCGATATTTTTTAGGAAAACCCACTGCTTTTGTTACTGCTTTTCCTGTCTACGGCTTTTGCTGCGAAATCGGTGCTGCTCCCTAACCAGTTCCTTCAAAGCACGCACCCCGTTAGCGTCTTGATCTTGGCTTGGGCCTAGGTTCTTGAGATCACAGACACACGCACATGCACACGCACATACACACGCGGCCCTGTTTCCGTAACGCTGTTCGCTGGGCGACGTAGCGACCGACGAGGGTCGCGCGTCCTTCTTGTCTCGTTTCCCTATTCATGGAATTTGTAGCAAGCTTTACACATTTCAACGTTAACCGACCAGAACGAGTAGTAGAACGATGGTGTGGCGGACAAAGTATCCGGTTAGGCCGACTACGCTCGGGGATGTCCATCGCTGACTGAGCGTTGGTGCCTTGTGGCTGGCTTGTTGCTCGATCAGTGCTGGCTTTACTGGTCGCACAAACTGGAGATGAACTAAGGGGGGTGGAAGTGGTGCCGTTTCAACTGAGTGTAGACAGATAGATGAGGGGCCAGCACACAAGTGGTCCTGCATGCCAGACCCACTGATTCAATGCCCGCGCTTTTTTCATGGACTGCCTTCGTATGTCAACCCTGTATCCCAGTGTCACGAACTAGCTACACAAGGCTATTGTCATCTATCTACGATAGTAGCGTGGCGGCAGTCGTCATTGGCACCCCTTTAAGATATTTCTGCCGATGCTCCGACAGTAACCATGTTGCGCGTTGTTTTTTTTTGTTTCCAGCTAAATCAATTCAATCTTTTCTTTTCATCTAGACGAACTAATTGTCTCAATGCGTATACCTTTTATAGGTGTACGTGTCGATGCCAGCACTGGCAATGCACATCCTCACCCACAACCTGAGTCACAAGTGCGAGATGTGTGGCAAGGCGTTCTCGCGTCCGTGGCTGCTGCAGGGCCACATGCGATCGCACACCGGCGAGAAGCCCTTCGCCTGCGTCCAGTGCGGAAAGGCATTCGCCGATCGCTCCAACCTCCGAGCGCACATGCAGACACATTCCACTTCGAAGCATTTCCAGTGTCCCAGGTAGGTCAAGCCTACTTCAGCGAACATATATATATCGTCTATAGCAGTTAACTGGAATAGGTATATAACAAAAGTAGTAGGTATCTCTGGATGGAAACGCCGACTACATTATCGGAAAGTGGGCAGTATGGATATACAGGCACATAAGCGCTTTGCTTCTTGAAGCTCGCATCAGTTCAATTGCGCTTCAGCTGGTCAAGAAACTTGGCTTAGATGAAGACAACTCCGAAGGGTAACGTTGTGCTTTCGTTTTAACCGTAACTCTTAGTTATGGCACAAAGCGTTGATGGCCGTTGTTGAGCAACGCACAACCTACGATATAATGCAACAGCACCAAGGAGTGGCACTCGCAAAGAGTAGTTAGATCAGCACTGCCAGGAAAACGCTGCTGACAGCGGCTTACCACCTTGATGGCTGACTGGCCTGCCTGCGGCGACTTCGTTCCCAGCCGTTGCCGCACAGCTTACCGCCGCGAACACGCTAGACGGAGGGGCCCCGGGCGGAGTCGGAGCGAGCTGGGCCGGACGAAGCGGCTAGCAGGCGAGCTGCGTAAACATCAAAGAACATGGCCTTCCGCCATGAATACTCGGCGACGATTGCCTGCTATTTAGTTATTCCTCTTTCGGTGGTTCTCGCCCGCTATCCCCTCCCGTTTCTACTACTGCGCAGAAGCGGCACCTGCAGAGTCTGACCATAGTCAGTGGCCGGGCGGTCAATGCCAAGGCCGCTTCTTTTCTGTTAACTTGACTCTTGATCACTGCTTTCATTAGGCGAGATATATGAGTAGAATACCGTCAGGAGCTCTGCGTGTGTCTGTATGCGTGCGAGTGAGTGGGAAAAGGGATTTAGAGAGCAACGAGAGTGCTATTAATCGGATCGCTGGTTTGCTTTATTTTGTCTGTCTTTTTTCGGTGTAATGAAACGTCGTGGACTTCGGTGCAACAACAACGACGACGACGACGACGACGACGACGACGACGACACGTGAACACCATGACAACCGACAAATATAACAATATTCATCGAATATTATAATGGGCTTTATTACTTAGGTGCGATAAAAGTTTCGCTTTAAAGAGTTATCTTAACAAACATCTTGAATCGGCGTGTCAGACCAAGGATGATGTAAGCTCAAATTCCTTCTCATCAATGGCTGAAGCATAGTTGAAAAGTGATCCATGAACGAGACGTCTACGGAACGTACATTTAGCTATTGTGAGGTGGTTATTCTACCGAGTAAGTGAAACAGTGTCTTCGAAACAGAGTTTGGAGTCAGTGTACTTCAACAGCTTACCAGCTTCATGATACTGTCAGATTTTTCAGTGGTACGTTGGCTAGTAAGTGTTTTCATAATATAGTCAGGGGCAGACACTATGAGCAGGAAGCCTACCAATACGTAAGACTGTGAGAGACTACTGGGCGTGATGTCACCCTTCGCCAGATCGACCTTACTTAGGTGAAAAGGACTCGACAGAGAGGCGATTGCTGTTAGTCAAATTATCTTTATTCTACTTTAAAATATATGGAAGCTTGGCATCTGGGAGAGATTGCCAAGCAGCTTGATCACATTTTGTAGGTGCTCGATTTTGTAATATAAATACGATTGCTGATACTAGTATAACTACAAATACCTGCACGATAGCATTAATGACAATTTCACTTAAGAGAAAGAAACAAAAACAACGTCTTCATCTCTTTCTCCTACCGCTATAACTATGATCAGTAGCGTACTGTGCTCGACTATTGCGCCCTATATCATCCGCCCTATATCATCCGCCCATCCCCAGTGCCGACTCTCCTTTTCGACCAGCAGCTATTTAACGGCTAACAATTACTTGCACTGGTTAATGCCTAGGAATGGAGTCCTTAAAAAGAACAACAGTCCCCTGTCCATGGTTCCAGTCGACTTGACCTGGCGTGTACGGGATATGAGCAATGAAGAGAGGAGAGCTGGTTCTAAGTAGTTCAATTGCCCCTGTCCCTATGCACGTGTAAACATGCGCAGGTGTAGTCAGATCTGAGACCCTTCCCACGCCGACGAGCTTTAAATCGTTCGCTAATGCCACTTGGCATATTGCGCGTCGAGGGAGGCTTAGATTCAGACTCACACTTAGGTGGCACAACACGATCACCCAGACAATTGGGGAGCTTCATAAAAACAGTGTGCTAACTTCCTACATCCCCCGCGTACTGTTTCTCTCATTGGCCACCGCATTTAGTGCTTCGCAAGAGCTTCCGCTTAGAGTCGCTTTGTGCGCTTCCTGTGCAGCGGACTGCTGCTCGCCTACATCCTTTTTGGTTGCACGTTCACTAGATCGGCCTCCTCTACCAATCCCCGTTTCTCGGCCGGCAGCAGGCCCGCCTCGAAGATCATCTGTTGCCAGAAAAGCCGAGAGAGGTTAGCACTAGTGTCTGACTGTGGCCAAACTGTGCTCCGCTCAACGATCAGAACGAAATAACGTGCGTGAGAAGAGAGAGGGAAATACATACAGCAGTAACATTTGAATCAATGGACAGCGACTGACGAACGGACAAACAGATCGCAGCCAGACAACATACCCATCCCAGTAGCTACAATTCAAGCAAGGCAACTCCTTTCAACGAATCTTTAACTCTTCTAGCTAACAATAATAATAACAACTAAATAGCAATGACGATGATGATTTTTGATACGAGTGCTAATATAGTAAAGGCAGAGTCTGTGTTTGTTTGGCAAAGCCCAATATAATGCATCAAGCGTGTTCCCAGATCAAGTAAAAACGAACGAAACGATGGGTCAGCGTTGTCCTGTAGATTAATGATATGTGATATAGATTATATATGTACAGACAATACTATATACAAAACGAGATGACTGCAGTAGTAATCAACAGAGATAACGGATAGAATAATATACTGATAACAATCACATTTTTGCCGACTAAACAGGTAAGCTTAGGGCCATCAAAGTAAGAATCATCGTGCTTTTGCCGGTAGAGAATCATCTATATTTTTATTACTATTTGCATTAAATGAAAAAAAAAAATATATATATATATATATATATATAAATGCCATAGTAAGTAAGTGCTCCTCTCGTGATTCGTGTCTATGAAACACTCAAAGGACGAGCGCGACAAACGATATTATAATTATACCACTAAGATTATTGTTCAAAATAAGTTCAGTAAATAAGTGTACACCTATACTACACGTAAGTGTATCTTGCAACGGCGTTCATGTATGCTTTTAATGAACGTCATAAGTTGATATATATAAATGCTACAATCATTTAGCGCGTCCGCGCAAAGACGTTAACTTTGTCCTCCGGTGAGTCTTCTAGTCAACAGTATATAATTATATGATAATATGAAATAATACAAGATAAGCAACAATGATTTACGTCCTATTACGTTAAGTGTTACGCTTACAATCCTTGCCTCATGATAATATCGTATGTAGTAGTCCTACTACATGCTCGTAGTAGCAGGCGATAGTAAACCCCCTTCATGCCTACTGCGACAAGTGCACGTCATTGCGTACAATACACGACTTTCAATGCTAGCGTTATTATTATGGCGAGGTGCACAGGGCGGCTATGCAGAAAACTCTGAAGCAACGCCATTTGTATGACAAAACGATCTGAAAAATTGAACAATCTGGAGGTTAAGGACGACGCCGGCTGGACCGCGCGTCAGTCCGATTATGCAGTTGTCCTCATTCCTTGAGTTCTGGCATTGTTATATAGCATACCGCCGCAGTAGCATAGATACCTATACGCATACAATGTAATGGTGTTATGCAAGGACAAACAACCATTATAAAATGTAGCGCCACATATTTAATAAAGAAACGATGTAATTAATATATATATATACCTAGACGCGATAGTAACAGCAACATTTTTTGCGCTGACCTTATAATTAAAGCAATAATTTTTCTTCCCATGGAAGCCTCGCACGAGTGGTCGAGGTAATTGGTACGATTCTGGGGATGGGAAACCCCAGAGTGCACCATACCCCGGTCTCGTTTTGCGGGCGAATCCACGGGCGATCACTGATCACTGATGCAGATGGATCATGTCCGGTGCGTAATCGGCTAGTTCGTTGCGTATTTGGTAACAACGGACTACCGATAACGTCGCGCCCGGTCTTGGCCGACGTTAGAGAAAGAAAAATAAATATTATATATAAACAGACACGAGTATAAGAACGAATCCGCGACAGAGACAAATATACTATTATATACACACAAGCAGTGAATATGGCAGAGGATAAAAGTAAAATGCCTATGAGACAATGGCGTGAGAACAACGCAAGGAGCAGAAGTATCTGGAGAATGAGGATGACACAAAACGATGTTCAGGACGACTCATTTGTAGATGCTTTATCATCTCGCTGCTGGTCGTTTAGCAATCACTACCGAAAACGCGTGTTAGTTAGAAACTGTTTGTTTAATAGTTTTGTATAGCATCTTTGTTACGTGTTCCACTGTAAGCGGACACTATCCGAGAATCACGTAATTATCCGAATAACTAGCGCGTCATCACTAAAAGCATTTTTCCGAACGACTTGCCAATTGCCTCGTTAAGCCGCCGCGCCATTTCGAAGTTAGCTCACGTCCTTCTCAATTTCTAATAATATTATTAGATATAAAGTCCCTATTAAGATTATTATACTACCTTGAATAGCTTATATGTGTTAAACCGACTACCCTACCTAGGCGTATGTGTGTCGGGCTCCATATGCGATTATAGCAGAACATTCGATATATAGACCTCTCATATAATTACTCGGAAAGTATTCCCGGAACTCATGTCTGACCCGTTAGTCGAAATGCCTGTGCGTTAGCTATAACGTATAATGAATATAGCCGTCAACAGATCTTCAAAATTAGAAGCAGAATGTCTATGGTGAAGAAATTAAAGAATTTACTAAACTATTGAATGCCATTTAGAACATCTTCAGTAATTATGTACACGGTTCTTAATAATCAACGAAATATCAACGACCAGTAGCGACGGTGACTCAGGCGTTTTAGAGACTACATATTTGATTAATCTATTTACTGGTACATATATTTACATATACTAGTATACATAACGCTATATATCTAAATATATTAATATATTTAAAAATTACTATACTTTCCAATGATACGACAAGACGACTAGAATGAATGCAGTACTAATAATGATGATAATGATAATATCAATGAAGTTGGCAAAAATCATACAAAAACAAGGACTAATGAATATATATATATATAATTATTACTGGAATAGTAAAGGGAGGATAAAATGAGAAATAGTAATCTTGATGGTGATGATAGTAATAACTAGTACAGAGTAAGGTGAAGATCAGTTGATGAGAAGTAAAAAAATATGATAAAAGTACATGAAAATGATGACAACCTACTAAAAAACACGGAACGAAGAATGCAAAAGACGATTGCACAAGTTGATGGATCTGAGAGTGTCGACAGGTCCACCACAATCCGCTGATAAAAAGCAGGAGGCGATAGGGAAACAAAGAAGCAAGATAGGACAACCATAGAAGAAGTAGAAAAAGTAATTAAAGAAAGTCAGGCAAAGGGAAGTAGGACAGCAGGTAATAAGAAAGCCGAACTGTAGTGGCGGCTACCGTACCTTGGCGTTGCCGCGTTGTGGGCAGTTATAGCAGCAGCACCACTGTAGGCTACACGCAGCCAATGTCTCGAACATTTAAGAATGTCCTGAGGCGGAACCCGGCATGGTGTCGCGGGTGTATTCGCAAGCAATAACTCTTCTTTAGGTAGTTGTTGTCGTCAGCGAGACACGTGTATTCAATGGTCCGTCCGCGCAGGGCATTTCTCCTGTTTGCTAGATGGTGGTAACTGCACTAGTTGGTGCACTGCGAGGCAATGGCGAGAAGCATCAGTTGGTCGGCCTCCCGGCCGTTCCTCCGGTCGGTGTTCGATGTGGACGAACAAGCAAAGGGGACTGGGTCAGTTTCGACGGCCCGGAAGCCGAGCCACGAGGCAAGCAAACGGTGGCCGTACGATGCAAGGCAAGGCAAGCAAGTAGTGATGTCGTCGACCGCTGAAAAATGAAGCTTGCCAAGAGGACCGACTAATTGGTCGCTTGCTGGCTGGCTTGCTAGATCGGTCGAAAGAAAAAGCGAAAAAGTTGGAGCTTTAGACATGGGAGACAAACCCAGCGAATGCAAGTAACCAGCCGGTCGCAAAATAGGCAGCCACTGCTTCTACGGCCCGCTCCCTTCCAACAGGCGAAACCGGCAAACGGCCGCTCAGAAGCAGTAGGGTGAGTAGAAAGGAAAGTTGCCGAAAAAAAGCTCAACGCTTGAAAGCATCGGTAGCCGCATCTCAGCTTCAGCGGTACCAGTAGCCCCTTCGCCCCAGTTTCGGATGAATGAATTGTCAAACGCTTGCCGTTCGGCCCCGTTCTCCCTTCCAGATCGGTTTCCCTTCTCAGACCCCTATCACGCTTCTCGATTTGCCTCTTCAGCTAGCGAATAGCAAAATGAGCGAACGAGCAAGCAGTCGTGTGGATGGACAGATAGGCCGTCATCCACGACGTTCTATGTGTGTCTCTCACTTACTGCTTTTGCAGCGCTATCTAGGCTAGTACTCACTAAAGCGTTTGTGTCGGGAAAACTGCAATTGGGAACTCCTCATCTCCCTCTAGCAGACTGCGAAGGATAACAACGGTTGTCGGGAGTGCGCTGAGAAATGATGCTCGCTCAAATCAGAGGTTTGTCCCTCTATCTGTCTTGCCGCACCTCGACAATTGCAAGTGGTGTACTTGTGCTGCTTCTGGTACTGCCACAGACTTAACCACCGCCATCGTCTCGGATAGTGAAACTGTGTTCCTTTTCAGTAACCTCGCAATCCAGTGTTCGAGAATTGACTGAAGGGCGACGAGCTAAGAGCAAGAGAGTTCTTTTACCCACTATACCCCTCTTACTCCGATTTGTACCTCAACTATCCCGTTTTTCAACCCGCTATCCCTAGTTCTCCAGACGGATCAGGTCTTGAGGAGAACGGCAGCCAGGATGCCGTTACAATCACTATGTTCTCGTTGTACTACTCTGGCTTCTTTCGCTTCTTCTCCTTCGCTCTTTTCCGCCTTCTCCAGTTCCCTAAGATTACCCAATTCAGATGTTATTGTTAGCACTGTTAGGGTTATGATCGGCAAGCAGTCCCGGTTTAGCAAAAAAGCTTTGAAGGGTAGCTTCTGTCACAGTAATGTTGCATAAGCAGCGTTAAGCCAATCGGTAGTAGAGATGCAGAACTAAAGGGGACGGCCAAATGAGGAAGAATGCAACGCGAGTGTACGCTGTGCGTACGTGCAAATTAAAAAACTTGCCCATCGATAGCTTGTTCTGAGGCGACGGCGAGGCACCCATCTCCTGCACGATCTACATAGCTGAATCAAAGCGGGCGAATGTGCTCAAGGGATAGAAACATGGGCCACCTAGATTTTTTGATCAACCTCAGCTTTCGCTTAGCCGTACCATTGGAAACAGTAGCTTTCCGTCTGGCGCATTCGATCGCACCAGATCTGTTCCCCTTACTATGCGCTTAGTAGAATTAAGAAGAGTGGATCCATCCTTTGAGCACCGTGATCATGTAGTTGAAAATGCCCTTCGCCCCATATTTTTTTGCACCCCTGCTGCCCGACCGCTCGGCCGACCTGATCGACAGACGTAGTGAGTAGATCTTATGCAACGACCTTCTAGATAAATAAATGAACTCTGCGGTATATATATAATAAAGTACTATAAGAGACATGTCTAATAAAGTACGAACAGGATATTAAAAGGGAACGATGGAAACAAAGCAAAATATTAAAATGGCTAAAATGTGAACTATGTTATCATAGAGCTCAAAACCCCCGTGACGAGGATAAGAAATCGACAAAGTAGTTCACTTACACAGAGATCTGTTCATCTATTTAAGTGACCTCAACATGACTTCGTGCCGCCATGCGTGACCTTGGCGACCCCCAAACATCATTCATTTGCATTATATATTCTTACAAATGTCATCTCGGCAGCAAACCTGTTACGTCAAGGCAACATTCATGACAAAGATTATTAATCATGCATAGTAATAATATTGATATCTGTATATTTTACATAATAAGATAACTATGAATCGATTGTAAAGTTATACAATAATAAACTTGTCGCTCTGCAAATATAGGAATAAATCTATATATATATATATATATATATATACATCGTAAAATCAGCTTGCACCAGAGATTGCACTTTGATGACCATTGAATATATATATATACATATATATATATATATATATTATCGAAACATACGCCTTCGCCTTCATCGACCACTTCGATCATCTCATATGAATAACTGCGATACGTGAGGTAAACTTCGATGATAAGGAGAGCAATAATATTACCAAAGCTAAATAATAACATGCCTGATGGAACGCTTAACGGCTGTAGCAGACGTAAAACCCAATCAATTCAGCTGAATGAATGATGATGGTGGTGGCGATGGCGATGGCGATCGGTGACAATACACCACTGACAGTGGATAGACAGACAGAGAATAAATAAAATTACAACAGGAATAACTTATATATACGTGTAGATAAACATTTTATTTATTAACAGATGGGCCATAAGGCAAATGAACACCGAACATACACCAGAACGAATGGTACTTAATAGAAGAAAACAGCTCGAAAAAGAATAAAAGGGTGAATTCTAATAAAGATGACACGACATTCATCGCGAATGTTTGTTGCAATATGTTGGTGTTTTGAATTAATGTGTTAGTTTTTACTGTCAGCCTTTTCACAGTAACTTGGATGGTTCTTTTTTTTCGAAATTAGTATCCGTCTCAACTCATCTACCGTCACTACGTACGGCGACTAATCCCTACTGGCAGCGTAAACATTTAGCCATAAACGGTCTTCTTTTAGAAACTGTAGCAGTAAAACGAGCGGCTGATTTGAAATAAACTTTGATTCTTCTTGTGAATCGGATTCGGTTCGTGCAGGATTATGCTCTTCGATCGGCAACCATTGTCTATAGTATCCGTTTCTTGTCCATACTGACGTTCCTAGAATAAGAAACAAATAAGAGACATGTAGCTAATACATCCGTACTATTTAATTGATCTGACGACTCACTCGGACGGATAGCTAATATCGACATTGCATATATTCGAAAAAAAAATACGATATAGGATCAGTTGGTTCAACGAGAGCCTGGATATGTGTATATCACGCCATATATATATATATGTATATATATGACTAGTTATTACATTTATCATTCACCGCGATCTTGTGGTCTCAGCCACCCGCAAGCCATTTACAAAATGTCCTTCCTTTTATTTGGAGTCAACTGTTTAGTACTAACTGTGCAGTAAACGATATCCCAGATGAAAGTCTGTTAAGGTGCCGTTCGAATAGGCCACGTACAAAAAATTTAAACGAAACTATAATTTCGCCTGACAGCAGGCCAAAGGTTCCAAAAATGTAAGAAAAAAACATGACAAGCTTTCGGAAAGGCTAACCGTTCTAGTTTATTTAAACGACACTATATATACGTATATATATATATATATACAAAACGGTTATTAATACTTGTATGAAACTCAGGCCTAATAAAAATGGTTTTTGGGGCCCGTTAAACCTAAATTTTATTAAGAATTTTTAAGAAGCCGCATGAAAGCTGGCAATAATGGACAATAGACTTTGAGGAAAAAACCTGTTTTCAGTTTCGTCAACGTTTAACCCTCACAAAGGGCTTTTCTTTTGTCCAAATTGCGAAAATGACGCACTGTTTTTTTTGCCAGGACGAGTTTTTCTGTTCTAAAAAGAAATGGCCCGATGAACGCATGCGTGTTACGACAAGCAGCCCTTTAAGGTTTTGCCTAATTTGAATACACCATGCTGTACACATATAGATGTGGTATTCCGGTTAATCGCCTCGGTGGGGGTGACCAGCTTCTTTCAATAGTCTGGCCGGATGCAGACCGACAAGCGCCATTCATTCGTCATAGGTCATAGTTCGAAACTAGGTAAAGGTTCATACAAGACGTGTGAAACAGAATTCGTCAACGAAACAGCTGGGCAGCCCCATAAAGGTAGTATCATAGGCATATCATTTTTTTTTTTTTTTTTTTATAACGAACTCGCCCGCTAACACTAACTCATTTGGGTGCGCAGTGGAATCCTGTTTCGAGATGGCTGATGCCACAAAGTTGCAATACAATAGAATTTCACGTGCAGCAATTAAAGAGGTGCTGCTCCGTCACAGAACATAAAACATTATTATATTAAACAACGTTCTTTTTGTTTGGCTACGCCGGATGTGCTGGTAAATCGAAGTTCGTTCCGAAGTACTACGTTCATTAGGAAGGGAACAGCTAAAAAGAATCGTAGATTGATCAGATACACAAAGTATTCATGAATTGCCACATCTCTCTGAGGGTCATAGTGGTTTATCCATAAAAAAAAAACAAAAAAAAAAAAGGCTGACCACGCGTGACTATTTTTTAAATACCCAAACTTAAGGTTACCACTTAGATTCAAATAGAAATATCACCTATTTTCTTGACGTAGTGCTCAGGCTAATTGCGACCAATTGCCAAAGGCACAAATACTCTATTGGCAGGTGAAAAGAAGACAGAAAAACAAACAGAACGTATACAGGACAGTACAGCTGCCTGCGATATGCTTATGCAGTTGACACGCGACACACGTGCATGTTCCCAATGCGTTTCAGCCATCAGTAATATGTGATCTTCTGAATACGTATTTCAGTAATTAAAATGGATTAGTAGTTATATTCTATACTCAGCCATACAGGATCAGCAGATTGAAGATAAATAGACCTGACGCAACTCGGTGTGCCCACATATTTATATACTGACATGGAGGTTTCGATAAAGCAAAACACGTTTATTGCTTTCTTCAGCAGTTTTCCAGCAATATCCGACAGTCTTTTCTGTCTAGGCGTTTTTCGAAGGAGAATTTCTTTGGCTGCTTTTGGAAAAATGGGACCCTATTTACGACCAGATGCATCCTACATCACGAATTGCTTGTTGGCTACAGAGAACAGGCTGTTTGCATGTGGCATGTTCAACTCTTGGCATTGAATGGTACGTTCTTGACCCATCGGTTCCTAGCGGGAACCTAGTGGTGACTTTGCTCAAAAGCCCGCTGTTACTATAGTCATTCAACCACGTACTACATAAAAGCACAACATCAAACCTGTTTACGTCGCTCACGTCTAAAGTTGGAAATTCGCTTTCAGATCTACAAATCTCTGAACTTTTTTAAGTCCATAAGATTATTGTGATCGATACTAACATCGAGACGAGGCAAGCGCACCTAATTCTTGCTGGATCGACCTCCCTTCATTGCCTCCTTCCAACCTGCCTCACCCTTCTCGCGCGTATATATTTTGATAGTTAGTCACCACCGTTTGTGTAGTACAATTTCAGTATATATTAAATCATGAAAGCGGCAGAGAACACGGTATATTCTTCGTCCCCGCCCATCAATATCAGTCCGCCTGCTAATCGCACTGATACATACATGCATAAGTGATTCGAGCCGTTGATATAGTTCTATTATATTTCTACTCCGGGATAATGCAGTGAAGATTTTCACGAACTATTTTCGTACTACGCTGGCACAACATGTATTGGTTGCTCGGTTATACGATGTTAGAAAGTGTTGGCCGCGTCCATCCGAGCGAAGATTCTATCCTCATCGTTTAGCTAGAACCCAATGCGGAACGCGATCGACGGTGCATGTGCACTATATGAGGATCGTACGGCCATCCGGTTTTTGTCCCAGAGAGGCAAGAATTCCTCACAGCTTTGCGTTGTCTCCGAACTATGGAACCGTGGAAAGGGTAACGACAGTAGATGGGCGGCCGGCTTTACAGGCGGACCAGCCCACCGGCCTCGGGATAGGCCCGGGAACCAGCCAGGAACTTGTATAAAAACAAAATAAGTTAAATAGCGTTTGCGATAAGATAAACCGGGGCATTTGCTTCTCCTATCCTTCGTTCGCTCTGCACTCTTTAGTCGGTTCCTTTCTTTGCTCCTTTTCTCCCGCTTTTCCCGTGGCAAGGACTTCTTCTACTTTTGCCAGGCTGTATCAGTCTTCGGTCAAAAAGGAAAGGCTATGAGATAGAAAGGGAACGAGCTGGCAGTCCTGCCAGTACTGGCAACTGGTGCTCCTTTTGGGAGAAAGAACTAACACTGCACCCTTTATCCAGCGTAGTGCTCTCAGTCCTTGCACGCAGTGCACAGGCAGCGCTTTTCTAGGCTGCTCGCCCAAGGCTGGGTTGACCAGGCATTCTACATATATGTCGAAGGAAGCATTACAGGAGGCTGCCATAGGTAGCCACATCGAAAAATGCCCCTGCTCTGATCGAACCGCCTACGCCCGTTTGCTTTCCTTGCTCAACAAACTCTTCCATTTAGCAACCAGCCGTAACTCCTCACTGTCTACGTTTAACCTCCAGCAGTTTTTCTATGTGGCATCCGCCGACCCCTGTATGCCCTAAGGTCTCTCCTTTCTAAAAGAGCTGGAATTGAGCACCATCGCGACGAGCGGAGGCTAAGCCGGCTGTTGGCTGCCTACCGGTAGCAACGGTCGGTAGTAAAGCCCGTTTTGTTGCTGTCCTGATGCTTCCACCGGAAATGGTATGCGATGCAGGTGGTGCACTGGAGGCTCATTTCGGCTGGCCCCTGAGTTACCACTGCTGCTACGACTTTCGCTGAAGAACCGGCTCTATTAACAGAAGGAACGTGTACGGTCGCCAGAGACTTGCGGCTTTTCCGACAACCGCCGTGCAGTGGTATGTAGCCGCTAGTCGGCGACGCTTGGGTGCTTGCCTATCACCCAGGGCGCGAATAGATAGAGTGGGAAGGCGCCGTTCTTCGCCCGACAACGAGCGCCATCTAAGAAGAATGAATCGCGCGTACGCATATACGTATATGCGCGCACACCAGTGGACCTAAAAGATAATCAACGACGAAGAAAGAAATATATTTGCCTGCTGACGGACAAGGCCAGCAATAGAAAGTGTAGGTGGGCAACATTCAACTTGATGTTGTAGCAGACCACAGCAAAACGCCCGGTGGTCGCCGCCTCGGTCGTCTGCTGACCATGTCAACAGATATTATATCTCAGAGAGCTATCTTCCTGTTCTTTTCAAAGGTAAGCCCGAACGGGAAGAGACTGGTTTATAACAGGACGGGTGATGATTATTGCAGTAATGTAGGAAGGGGAAATTTTAGTGGCTGTGTAACGAAATGAAAAAGCATTACGGTCAATATAGTTGAGCGTACAAACATCACACGTCCATAATAACAATAACATATGAATGAGCAGCAATAAACACATTGTTTGATCGTTAGTAGATTAGTAATACACTTGAATAATAACATAGTATCTCTATATTAGAATAAAAGATGAAGTAAAGCTGCTTTTTTAATCAATCAAGCATTGCTTCAGGTTGCTTGACCAAAACTGCTTCGATTGATGTATAGCGATAAGATCGCGCGTCGAGGACCCACACTCTGAATGCTGTCAACGGTGGCATCGTACATCCATAAGCCCCTTAGGAATTCGAGATATCTGGTAGCATTGACTTCTTTTTTTCGGACAGTATCTTATAAAAACAAATGCCACTAGTATCCACTGCAAATACAAGCCACAGCTTACTTAAGAATCATCGCCATTATTACCTTAGTCTTATCATTATCATTATTACCTTAGCCTCTGATCAACGCCATTCCCTCGCTTGATTCTTTTCTTGTATGCAACATAGAATGACGCGTGTTATTTCGTTTGTGCGCGTTTTAGATAAGCTCTTTGCTACTAATAGCTACGCCAATTGTGTCAACAGTTTACCACACGTGTTTCCATCTGTTTCGGATCCAGGTGCTCCTAAGGGACTCGTTTTTCTTTCCTTTCCACCCCTAAATTTTAAATTCCATTTAAATTTTTCCTAAAAACTTTCCTGATTACAACAACTCGATTTTTCCCTTTGAGGCTTCTCCGTAGTCTTCAACATACCAGTTTC